GCCCCCCCCCCCCCCCCCTCCTTCCTTCTTCCCCTTCCGTGTCGGGAGGAGGGGGGGGGGACAAAAAAAGGCACGAAATAAGCAGGGTGGAGGGGCTTCGGTGGGGGAAGCGCTGTGTTTTGAAGTTGGGTGGGCAGGAGGCTCCCAGACAGGGTGGGTCTGCCCCTTTTTTTTCCCCCCCCCCTATTTTTTTTTTTTTTTCCCCACTCCCCCTGCAGGGCTTTAGAATTGGTGTTTGTGCCTGTGTGTTGCATTTATTTCTTAGGTGGAGTTGGTGAGGACTGTGCAGGGCAGCGCTGCTGTGCACGGAGAAGGTGTTGAGGGTGCAGACGTGCTTGTGTCTGGAGTGCAATTGCACCCTTCTGTGGGGCGCAGCTTTTAAGCACCTGCAAATGAGAGTTAAGATTTGGTACAGGGTGTAATTAAATATTACAGGTTTTGCTGTGTTTTCTTTCTCATTCCTTCTTGTGCTTGCTTCCCATTTTGCATTCTGAAGTGCTCTTGCTAGGCTAGAAGTGTGCATGCATAAGGCATCTCCTTCCTTCTTACTTTTCCTTGTGATTCCTTCATTTGGAAATACATTCATCTCCCTCCTCTTGTCTCTTCAGTGCTTTGCATTTGGAGGAGCAAGCATGGGAGGCTTTGCCTTTTCCCCCTACACATACGCCCATGATCCACCCTCCTCTTTTTGTTTTAGTCAGGAGGAAAAAAAAAGTGCCAAGTTGGTTCAAGTAAATGGTATGAAAAACAGAATTTTAGCCTTCAGTAGAAAGAGCAGTGATTTTTTACAAGTTGTCCCCTTAAAATGCTACCATGGTGCCAGCTGCTGTATGACAAATGAAGAGGCTGGAGAGAGGAAAGAAAATGGGTCGTGCAAATTTTGGGGAATGGCAAGAGGTTCTTGTGGCAAACCTTTCTTTCCAATGTATGTGCAAAAAGCATTCTGACATCTCTGGTATAGATGAGTGCTTATAACTTGCCTTTCTCATTCCTTCTTGTGCTTGCTTCCCATTTTGCATTCTGAAGTGCTCTTGCTAGGCTAGAAGTGTGCATGCATAAGGCATCTCCTTCCTTCTTACTTTTCCTTGTGATTCCTTCATTTGGAAATACATTCATCTCCCTCCTCTTGTCTCTTCAGTGCTTTGCATTTGGAGGAGCAAGCATGGGAGGCTTTGCCTTTTCCCCCTACACATACGCCCATGATCCACCCTCCTCTTTTTGTTTTAGTCAGGAGGAAAAAAAAAGTGCCAAGTTGGTTCAAGTAAATGGTATGAAAAACAGAATTTTAGCCTTCAGTAGAAAGAGCAGTGATTTTTTACAAGTTGTCCCCTTAAAATGCTACCATGGTGCCAGCTGCTGTATGACAAATGAAGAGGCTGGAGAGAGGAAAGAAAATGGGTCGTGCAAATTTTGGGGAATGGCAAGAGGTTCTTGTGGCAAACCTTTCTTTCCAATGTATGTGCAAAAAGCATTCTGACATCTCTGGTATAGATGAGTGCTTATAACTTGCCTGCACCTTGCCAGGCCATATATCTGGCATGTCTGCAATCCTTCAAAACAGAAATGAAGGCAAGCAAATACTGCAAACTGAGCTCTGATTGTATTCCAGCACTTCTCTTGGTATTCTGAGACACTTGGTCGGTTTTGGAAGGATTATTTAGGGGTTTCTCAATTCCTTGTCAATGACTCCTCCTCCCTCCCTCCTTTAACTTCGTGTAGAAGAGGGTAGAAGTCCCTTCTGTATTCTTTGTTATCCCAGTGGCCACAGCAGACCTCTGGATTAATGTGTACATGCCATCTGTTGCTCAGCCTGCTTGAATTGTGTTGAGCAAAAGTTCCGTTTTGACAGTGGCTTTAAAAAAAAAAAAAAAAGGGAGGCAAGCCCATTTCGGTCTCTTCCTGTATGGACTCAGCCCTGCAGTGATTTGCTCGGAATGAAATGCAAAAGAAATGGGTGGTGATTTTTTTTGTGTGTTTTGGTGGCAGGGTTCAAATGAATCACTGCCTTCCGCCGAGGCAGTAATGTTCCTCAAGTTTTCTCTTCGATCCGTTTTCTATGGTAGTAGAACTTGTTAACATCAGATTGCTTGTTTGCTTTTCTGCTGGGATTTGCTGCTTTTTCTTTTCCCTTTTTTTTTTATTTTTAAGGCTGATAGTTGCTTTCATTACTTCTGCGAAGAGACTCTTAAGATTGTGGTAAAATTATTTTTCTTGGGTATGTAGGTTCAGGTTTTTGTGAAAGAAGCAGATGGAGAACGTGCTTGGTTTATATTGCAAGAAGGAAGTCTTCAAAAAATGTGGAGTTTGTTCTGATAGTGTCTTGAGTTGCGTGTGTTTGTAGAGGGCTCTGACTTCTAAAGTAGGAAGAAGCTTGGCGTGAAGTGAGATGTCGATGGGCTCTTGTTTTAGACGCGCAGTTGAAGTTGGAACTAGGGATGATCCCGAAGCCAGCAGGGGTTTGGCGATAGCGGCTCTTATCGCTGTTACTGACACCGGTTCTGACAACCGTGGCATTAAACGCTGGCGAACCACTAATGGCAAAAACAGTGTCTGTAAAGGAAGAAGGTGGGGAGGGGCGAGCCCTGCTTGTGCCGACAGCCCTGCTGAGGAAGTAGGCGTGTGCAGGGCTGGCTGGAATCTTCAGTTGGGAACTATTGTGGGCTCTTTGTGTTGCTGCAGGGGTCTCATTTTTTTATTTATTTTGTTTTTCAGGAGCTGGAGGAGGAAATGACATTCAGTGGTGTTTTTCTCAGGTGAAAGGCGCTGTAGATGATGATGTAGCAGAAGGTAAGAGTAATTTTTTTTTTTTTAGTGAATGTTTTCTGACTTTAGATACTCCTTATGTAGGGAGATACGAATCCAATCCCACTTCTGAATATCTCAGTGTTGCTGTAAGTACCTTGAGCAAAGCAAATAAACACTTAATGTGCCTTCAGATACCCAGATTGAGGAGTAAACTATGGTTTGAGAGTACTGTTCAGCACACTTTTAAGGAGGGCTGAATTCAGGCTCCTTAAATATTTTGCTGGAATTGTTTTCCAAGACTGTTAAGATTTTCCTGTCGCTCAGCTTTTGATTTGTGTTTTTTCCTAATCTGCAAAATGGGGAATGTGATACTTGCATTCCACAGAGAGGTGTTGTGAGAATTAATTAATGTTGGTACTCTTTGAAGATCTAAGTACTAGATAAAGATCAAGTAATTTTCCCAATCTCTCCAGCTTCTGTTTACCAGCAGAGGAAGAAATCTGAATATTTGTGTATGGTTATGTACTGAGGGAAGAGGAGTTTTGTGTTGGAAATGATACTAGGAATTGCCTGAAAGTTTTGGAAGCTGGCAATGACAAATATCACTTACACTAAGATGGCTTCCTCTGGTTGTGGCTGCAGACATGTACTTTTAATTATCTTTTCCTTGGATTGAGAATCATCAGAAGAATCACACCTTCTCTCTGCTGCTCAGTTGCTGAGCTAGAGAGGAAAATTTCTTCTGCAATCTTTTTGGAGGAAAGTTTCACTTACTTCTACATTTCTTTGGCCATAAAGTTCTGTTTGCACAACACAGCCTGTAAGATCATGAGTTAATTTTTTTTTTTCATCTGCAGGCAGTTGGCCTTGTCACTTATGTAATTCTTAGAGGTTTTTTTTCTTTTTTTACACCTCTGGAGTGCTCTGGCTTACAAGTGAGATTAATGTTGTATTTAGAAAAGCAGTAACTACAGTTCCATTATTTTCTCATTTGACTGTGATTCAAAGCAACTTCCAAAGGCCAAAAAAATCAGTGTAAATATGACTTGGTATTTATTAGCTGCAGCCTGTGGCAAATGATGCACTTTGAAAGATTCCTGTCATTTACAAGCTTAAAGATGAGTTTTGAAAACAAGAAAGCTGGAGCAGTCTTTAAGTTAAATTTTAAATTCTTCAGGAAGTGCATTTTAAAGCTTGATCTCAAAACTGCTGGTAAATGTAGTATAACTATTTTTCCCTGGCAGACTTTTTAAGTTCTGTAACCTTTTAATTACATATCAAACTAAATCCTTTGTAAAATACAAATACTGAAGAACTTGTGGTTGTGTGGCAGGTGCTTGCAAATAATTATTCATTAAAATAGACATGTTGACTTGCATGTAAGAGTAATGAACTCTCCACATATATCTGTATGTATGGTAATGTGGCTTTTACAAGGATGTGGGAATGCAGAAGTCAGGAAATAGTCTGTCCTTAACTTCCTTAGCTGCTCTGAGGTGTTGTACATCATATTGTGAAAGATCCTGACAGGTTAGCAGCTGTACCAGGTATTGCTGGAGTCAGTGGGTGGAGTTCAGGGAAACCTTCACTGTCAGGGAATTCACTAGCTTCAGTTTCAGCAAGTCAGTCAGGATAGTTTAAAAAAAATTGTAAGAATGTTCATTTTTGCTTGTATGGAAGATGTAGCCTTCTGATTTGTGGCCCAAAGAGCAAAGGGAAGTTTGGTTTCATTGTCAGCTATGGCTGAGGTGAGTTTTAAGGGGGCAACCCCGGAGCCTCAGAGTCCTGCAAGACATCCTAAAATGTAAATGCCAAGATCCTGGAGTCAGGTCCCAGGATTGGTGTTCTCCTTGGTTGTAATGAATTTGTTGATCTGGATTTACCTCTTCTTCCTCCATGTCCAGTTCCCACAGTTGCTGGAATTGTTACAGCCAGCTGTCTGATTAAAGTGCAAGTTTAGCTTCCATGCCATCCTTGGAGTTTGTTATGCTTCATAAAGCCTCCCTGTGATGCTGTTGGAAGGGTTGATTCTGTATCAGGCTGGTTACAGTTTTCTTTTTAGTAGCTGTACTTCTGGCTTGAAGGTTTGCTTTAATGAAATGGAGCCTTGTGTGGTTCTTGCAAAAACTGAAACAGTGTGCTTCTGGTCCTCCTTCAGAATACCCAAGGACAAGTTGACTGTGGCTCTAAATCTAGTCTGAGGGACCTTTTTTCTCTCCCTGCCTTTCTGTCTGCTTTCTGGTGGCAGGCACCATGGTGAAAGCTAAAGAAAATCTTGCTGTCTGAAACTTAAATGAGTGTTTAACCACCGTGCTCTGCAAGCTAACAAGTTTGGACTCTAATCATGTCTGTGACTGAGGACAGTGCCAGTGTGTGTGCTGTAGCACCTGGGGTGTGGATTTGTCTTTTGAATGGCTTTAGAGCTCAGATTTTGGAAACTTAACTGTTGTGGAATGCTGAAACTTCACTGAAAACAAAGTGAGGAAAAGAAACTTGAAAGAAATGGGAGGTTTCACTTTCTGTGTTCTTCCTGTCTGTAATACAATGTTGCAATATTTATATTGGAAAGTAAGCATAAACTAAACTAATAGAACTGTTAACTAAGAAAACTGCATCCATTTAATTGTGTTAATCAGTAGAATGCAAAACCAGTGGTGTCTCTACTCACTGCCTATAAAACAGGCCAAGGTAGAATAACATTAATACAATAATAGTGGCAGAAATTTAAAAAAAATCTTGCTAAGAATGGTAGTACTGTGTAAAGCTCATCCAGTGTGTTTGAGGTCAAATCTGGCCTCATAACTTTCCCCTAGCATGTGTGGCTGTCTGTTACAAAGTCAGTATTTGGTGGCTTTGGCTGAAACAGGAACTAATAAAAACAGGCCAAGGTAGAATAACATTAATGTGTGATAAATGGATGTGACAGTGTTTCTTTTGGGGCTAATGAGGGTGGAAGGGAAGGAAGGGGCAAGACTGTTACTAAAGCTTGAGGGAAGGAGATGGCAGTGAGTTTATATCCAGGCCCTGCCTCTGGCATTCTGCTTTTCCAACTCGAGAAATACAGATGTGTGAGGAGCACAGCTTCTCTTCTCCTGGCACGTATGGAATTTATCCTTGGTTGTAAGCTGTGGCCTGGCCCTATCAGATCTCGATGTTTAGCACAGAAGTCAGCTTATAAATCAAAATCTGAGCGTCAGCTTCATTATAATTTGGGTTTTTAATTTTAACTGATTGCAAAAGTTTCCCTTTTTGTTTAGCAGTCTGGCATAAGGATGAGGGTGCTTTAGCTTGTGCTGCCTCTGTTTCTGAAATAGCTGATTCTTTGCTCAACAGTTTTCTGCCTTTCTTAATTTTATCTTGCTGGAGCCCAATCCCACCACATGTGTTCAACTCATTCTATGTACTATGGAGAATCTGGAGCCAGGACATTAGATTAGGCAGGACTTCTCTGGTGAAGAACAGAGAGTCATTCTCCTCTAAGTTCAATAATCAGGTTATCAAAAGCATCTGTAGTATTTGGGGTTTTTTTGTTTTGTGCAATCACTGTTGCAGTGCAAGTAAGACTTAACTGTCCAGAGATCCTAGAGAGCAGACATTACCAACTCGGGATCCTTATAAAAAAGGATTACAAAGGTTTTCTGCAGTAATGTCATTTTTTGGGGACTTGTTTTTACTCTTCTGCTGTTCTCCAAGATGTAGAACAATGGCAACTCCAAGAATTGTGAGTTTAAACAGTCTCTGAAAACAAGACAACTTGCTTAATGGAATGAGTTTGTACTTCAGAACACATTAAGTCAAATTTGTTTAATTACTTGGCAGAAGGAAAAAGAGTCAAGCTGCTGTATCTAGATGTTCTTTCAAGTGTAATCCAAAGATACGTAAAAGCCTGATAGTCTGGGTCCAAGGCTGGAAGCCAGGAACTTAAGTCCTAAGCTTTAACTCTTGGTGATTACTGATCATGTTTTACAAGTGGTTTAACTATTCTGTCTCTGAATTTTCTCTGAAAGATGGACTGGAATATTTGCTGTGGGTGCTGGTTACTGAGTTAAGTTTAAAGTCTGATGCTTTAACTAATTTGTGATGTTTTGTTAATAATCCATGAGTTGTTTCATGTTTCCTCTTTTATAGCCAAAATATTGCTGTAGTCTGTTCAAGTTGTGCAGATGATGAACAGAGGAAATCTTAACATTTTTACTCATAGCCAGCTCGTATGTGTGGTCAGAGATGCAAACAAGAGTTGAACTTTCTCTTGTTGGGAATGCTTTCTGTACTTGATTCTAGGTATAGCTTTCAAGTATAGTTTCATGTTTATTTTTGGCAGACTTCAAAATTGCAGAGCAGCTATGGGAACGGTTGCTGCTTTAGTAGTGGTAGTTTGTCTTCAATGCACAAAAATAGTAATCTCAGAGTAAGAAAAATTGAAGCCAGGAAAGAAGACTGCTGTAAAAAGCAGTTTACCAACATCTGGAGTTCACCATCTTCTCTTGTCTCACCAGAAAGCTTTCTCTTTGTCAAGTAACATGTATCTGTAATACTGGATTAGAGCTGCAGCGAGTTGGTCAGCTCTGTCCTACCAGGCTGTTATTCCTGGTTCTGTAGGTGTCCTAATAATTGACGATCCTCTAGGGGCCTACACCTTGTAGATAGAGGGATGTTGCTGGGATCAGGTGGGAAGATGGGCTTCTACTGAGCTGTGTTTGTGGGCAGGAGAAGAAGAGGAACAATTGCATTGTTATGGAAGTGACTGATTGGCTTTTGTAATGGGAAGTGATGGAATAGGAGGGGAGGGAGAATTCTCAGGTAAAAGTAACAAGGGTGTGAGAGGTTGTGGTTCTAATGCTGAAGAAAGGTTGGGATGCAGGTGTGGGAGGAAATTTACTTAGTGTTTCTGAGGGCTGTGATTATGTTCTGTGTGCTCATAAGGTAAGAAGGAACAAGCACTAGTAATAGGTTTGCTTTTTAAGGAGTAGTTTGAAATAAACTGTAGATTACTAATAAGACCCATGGTTATAGTCCTGTTCTGTATTCTTAAGTCTGCTTTT